AATTTATACAAAAAAAAAAAAAGTGAACTACTCCTTTAATGCATTGGCTAACATTGAGCATTTGTTACAATATTTATCTTTTTAATTCATAAAAATACATCTGATCATTGTTAGTTCATAGCTTAGGTCCATTAAATAATATTAAATGCAAATTTTGATTTTAATAATGTATTAATAAATGCTGAAATAAATAACTGAAATTATTAAATGCTAGAAGCATATTTTAATGTTAGTTCATGTAGTAAACTAATATTAAGAAATGGAACTTCATTTTAACGTGTTACCGTTTTTAGTTTTGTTATTCCTCATATTCTTCTGGACAAAACTTCGGTGCTGCTAACTGTCTAGCCACACCCTAGAAACCATTTAGAGCACCCTAGCAACCATGTAACATTATTAATAAGCCGAGAACTTTATACAGACTTATGGTTTGGCTCCGTTGCAGTCACTTGCATCACGGTAGCGACTGCATAGTGCCGAGTTTAGCCATGGCATGATGCACCACTCACATTTTCTTCAGAAAATGTATGTCTAGTTCTATATACTCCCTTCTTCCCGGTTTTACTGCACCGCGCACAATAGCAAGACAATTCAGTCCTGCTGAGATCCCGCACAATGTCCAGCAGGCGTTTGCGTGTGTGCATACCGCTAGTCTGGAGTGATGACAGCAGAGAAAAGCACATGTCCTCCTGGAATACAGTTATCTGTCTGCCAATGCTTCCAACACAAAGAAACGTAATAATCTTTATCTTTCTAGAACCGACAGTAACAATTGGAGCCCAAAATTTGATTTTCTCCTTTTCCGACTTCTTTCTTACTTTCCCATTTCTGTTTGACCTTTATTTTGCTCTCAATTATATCCAGATTTTTCACTGTGTTGCACTTCTCTTCGTTCAGTCTCTCATTGATTCACTGAGCATCATCTCAACACTCACATCTCTCACACACCCCAATATAAAAGTGTCTGAAGCTAGAGGGGGAAAATGCATTGCTGAAGGGTCCATATACCTCAGGAGGCTGATTACAATAAGGTACATTTCAGTAACGTTCTATTAGATGTCTGTCCTAAAATGGCAATTAAGATGTTTGACATACAATAACAATACAGAGCCTTTATGTATAACATAACGTGACTCATCTATTTCTCCTTTCACTCCAAATACATTAGATATAGAAGTAAACAGCAAGTAAACTGACATTAACTCATTCCTGTCTAGGAGAAACATAAAATCAGTCTCATAAATATCAAAAACCACAACTCAGAACTGTAAAAACAAATGTTACTGCTATTTAATTTAAAAACAATTATGATAACAATATTACACATATTATTTTTGAGTAGTTAATAAGGCTTGAATTCTTTCATGGAATCGACCTAAAAAGTAATTATTTGGTCTGATACAATAAATGTAATATTTTTAGTGAAATATCAACTTCTTTTTTATTTGAAGTTGATGCTCAAAAGTGTGTGAATTAGAGTGAATGGAAAATAACCTGTAGGCTATATATTTGCCTTTGAGTTGCATTGCATTATTAAACATGCATCAAATTATTATTTCGTGCAGATATACACATCCTTACTATAAGCACGAGTCTTCTGCACAATGGTAACGATCAAAACTTCAACATAATAACTCTTTCAAATGTCAAACATAACTGAACATTAAACATTAACAGATGTTTCCCTTTACTCAAAGACACATAAAATAACACTTCACTTAAATATTTCCTCTTCATTACCAGCCATGTGCAAAGCATGCTGGGAACTAACAATGGTGTCTCTAAATAAAACCAAAAAATTGAGCTAATTCTCTTAAAATAAATTGTTTGCCACCTTTTCCTTAATTTTATCAGCTTAATCAGTTCCTCAATACAAGCCTCTGGATGTTTCCTTAAAAATAGGAAAATGTATCTCTTGGTTTTATTAGACAAAAATGTTCTCAATATTTTCCATACAACACTGAACCACAATTTTCTCAATAAAATATACACAATATTTTTAATTATCACCTTCCTTTTTTAATGAAACTTACAAGACCCGTGTTTCATTTTTTACAGTGGAAGTCGGTTAGGTCAATTTAAGGATATAAGGTGAATCCTGTTAGCACTGGAATTAGCATTAGCGCTGAGACCATTCATGAGGATTACAGCAGCATGGGCACATCAACAAAAAGAAACAAATCCATGACGAGTCTGCTGATCTTTGACACTGATGCCAGTACGTCAGCAGCTCATGTTGCTTAAGTAAGCATGCTTTGGTCTGAATAAGTGGTGGCCACTAGCGCACTAACATACTTTGGCCCAAATTAGGGCTGGGCGATATGGCCAAAAAATCATATCTCGATATTTTTTGGTCAAATGGCGATATACGATATATATCTCGGTACTTTCTACGTTTTCTATTTAGATAAAGAAAATCTTTATATTAAAAAAAAAAAAAAAAAATATATATATATATATATATATATATATATACAGTATATTCACATTCGGCCCAATGATATCCTACAAACAATGTTGATATTGAAGGATATGGAAACAAATATAATATAGGCTATGCAATATATTATGTGCAAAAAGCTTTTGTTTTTATATTGACTAAAAGCTAAACTAAAAATGAAAATAAAAACAAAAACAAAAGCACAAACTAATTATATTAGCCTGCATTTGATTACCCCATTATAATCACTTTCACTTTCATTAAAAATATATACTTGTAGGTTTAAAATTCCACATATGGCACATTTATTTTCTCCAACAACAAATATTTTAGCAATATGTTTATTTTAGTCAGAATTATTGCGTACTACGTACTGTAGTACTATTCACGCGCATGCGCGCGCCGGCGCTCGTTCAAGGAAGCATGAATTTTAGCGGAGATTCACTTGCAGAAGCTCGTCCTCCTCTGACATGGACATATTTGTTGTGAAATGGACATATTTGCTTTACTTTCTAACATTTACAGATGGAGAATATGTGAAATGTAAGTTGAGCACTGAGGAAAGCACCACATCTCAAACGCATTAAACAGCGCAAGTCTGTCAGTCAGCAACAGTGTCTGTCAGAGCATTTGACAGGGCGGCAAGCTGCCTTAAACTTGTTAACTATATCAAAGTGATTTTGACGCAATTAATATAAGCTTGTGTCATGTTTAGGACAAATTGTACTACGTAGCCTATAGCTACTTTCACTGCAGCAGCTCACACTGCAACCTCCGCTATTTTTCAGATGTGCTCATATCAAACTACTGTATCGATATAAACGGTATTGCCTCATTCCATATCGTTTCAAAAAATATAACGATACATCGTACATATTCGATATATCGCCCAGCCCTAGCCCAAATCCACAATAAAGGCTAGATATCTTGTCCGCGCTGCTGGCCAATGGAGGTTGACGTCTGCACTTGGCGGCCATCTTGTCACACTCGTAACATTGTTTTAATGGTGCATGTAATTTTTAAATAACCATAACTTGCTCAATTTTCTACCGATTTCCAAACGGTTTGGTTTGTTATAAAAGTCAGAGATGTAGTTATGACACTGCATACTTATGAATAATAAGTGTATACATTATCATTCAGAATTGTAGCCACGTTAATAACGTTTGTAAGAAACCAAACCGTTTGTAAATCCGTCAAGATTTCAATGAGATAAGAGTATTTGTGTTCGTGCTGATCACTCATCTTTACATCAGCTTGCCTGTGACAAGATGGCCGCCGGTGATGATGACAGAAACTCCGTCGTAAGACATCTTGCCTTTATTGTGGATATCTATGCTTTGGCCTACTTTGTGTGCAGAAAATAAATGGATATCTGTTGCTTCTGAGATGAACAAATGGCTGGATCAACTGAATTAGCCCAGAAAACAAGGGGAATAAAATAAGAAATATGATTTTTCCTTCCATTCTTATTTATGGATATCAGTAGCCTGTGCCGGATTAAGAAAAAAATACATCTTGGAGAACAGCATATGAGTTTTCAACCTTTTGTGAGATGCCATTTCAACCACTTTACTTATTCTCCCTGTGATAGATGGCAATATTGTTCAGTATATGTATTAAATATTTCATATGATTACATTCTTGTCATATCTTCATAGTATGCTTAAAAGGTTAGTTCACCCAAAAATGAACATTTTGTCAGAATTTACTCACCCTCATGTTGTTCCAAACCTCTATGTGTTTATTTGTTCTGCTGAACAACACAAATGAAGATATTTGGAAGAATGTTTTAATCAAACAGATCTCATTCCCCATTGACTTCCATACTAGGAAAAACATACTATGGTAGTCAATGGGGAATGAGATCTGAAAAATATTATAAACTTTTAAAATCTCTTTTCTGAGCCCTTTTCTGCACTTTAATCAACTTTATAGATTTTGAGTGAATGTTAAGGCTGCAGTTATTTGATCAAAATATAGTAAAAACAGTAATTTTGAGAAATAAAATATATTAAAATGAAATGTATTCATGTGATGGTATAAAGCCGAATTTTGTGTCACATGATCCTTCAGAAATCATTCTAATCTGCTGATTTGCTGCTCAAGAAACATTTCTTATTATTATCAATGTTAAAAACAGTTGCATATATTTGTGGAAACATTGATCAAACATTTTTTATGATTCTTTAATAAATAGAATGACAGTCAGTGTAACATTCTAAACTGTCAGACATTTATTAAATGTTAAATTGTAACATTAAATGTCTTCACTGTCACTTTTGTTCATTAATATCTTTCAAAAACTCTCACTGAACCCAAACTTTTGCTCTGATTTCTTCCCCATCTCATTTAAATGACATTCATACAAGCCTCAAAATACTTTCTGGGACCAAACTAAATGCAGACAATAGGCATTTTAAGAACAATCCATGCGAGTGTATGAAGAAATACAGCACATGGTAGGTCAACGAGCTTCAATGCTTCTGAAAACAATGCATAGCTTTTGTTCTGAAACCCATTATGTACAGCAAACAAACACAGGTTTTACAAATCTGTCAAAAACTTCACTCCACGAATCCCGGATGAGCGATTCCAATATTCCACAGCAATGCCAGCACAACATTTCAATTACACTACATACATGCAGACCTATACTCACAAAACAAACACACACACACTTTTGCTTTTACATTCTCACTGGCCCATAAAATCCCCAAATAAACACAGAGACCACAAATAAACTCAACACACACACACACACACAGCACCAGGTAATGAGCAGAACCAGACTGTCACTTACGTCAAGCCAAACTCTCTCTCTCTCTCTCTTCAGTTCACTGGGACGAACGAGTATATTATTCGACAAGTCCTCCAGGATCATTTGCTTTCGTCTTCTCCTCCCTTTCCAGTCTCTCCATCATTGTTTTCAGACTGAAGCGCTGGTTGTGCTCTTACTGCAGCATGTTTGTGTGCGGCATATGTGTCTCACGGCGGTCCTGTTGACATAATTAATGTGTTTTTTAATTGTTATGGATGCAAATCATCTGTTTTTCTTGTCATTGCGGCTTGTGTTCTACTTCGGTTATGATACGTCTATGTGTGTGTGTTTGTGTGTAGAGCAGCTTTAATCCCTTTGAGGTGGGGAGAGAGCGAGTGCTTAGCAGCCGGGACTCCAAAGGGAATAAAAGACTTTTTATTCAGTTTTCAGTTCAACGTTTTTCAGTTCAACACACACAGTGCAAATGATTCTGACACATTAACGCCATCCTATTATGCAATAAACATCATGTACATCTTTAACCTCATCCTGCACACTCACTTTACACACAGAAAAGAGCACTCACACACATATACTTGTATAAGTGGATTAGAGTGTCAAACTAGGACAACGTTCAAAGCTCTGAGCTATAAACGTCCTTGATGCTGCCATCGTAATAAGCAAACGAATCAGGCCCGAGACCTGACGCTCCATCAATATGCTGGACAGCTGACACACACCAGTACACGCACATCTTGACCCACTTAAATGGCTCAGCAATGATTTGTAAAAAGTTGTTTCCTGATTGTGATTCTCAGAGGGTGAGAAAAACCAAAATGATATCACCAGTTTCCAACCTCGTGAGACTTTCGTTCATCTTCGGAACACAAATTAAGATAGATTTTTGATTAAATCTGAGAGCTGGATCACTGCGCTGGATTCATAAGGGATCGAAACTTGCCGGCCCAAAAGTTCAGTATATCCAGGATTAAATCATTTTAAGGTTTTAGTCATTGCATTGGATCAAAGTAGTTCTTGTGTAGTGTAAAGTACATAATTTCTGATAGATATCATAACCTCTTTTCCTTTTTGTTTAAAAATGAACTAGATTGTTTAATAATCAAATGTGTCATCTATCCATTATGACATTATGAAATCCATATTTGGCGGCCATTTTCAATTTTTTTTAAACATATCTTTTATTTGAAAGTATAAAGACCTTCTATGTGAAAGTGTGGTCATATTTACATGTATTTATGGTGAATTGTGTTATTGCATTTTAGGTTTCTGGCAGCTTTAAATTAATTTTTGCATTAAGAAATCCATATTTGGCGGCCATTTTGAAAAATGCCCGACATGGCCCCCAGGGGACAAATTTTGACCGCCTACGGTCCTAAATCTGATCAGACCCCCTTTGTGGGCCTTCGTACCAAATTTCATGCTTTTATCGCAAAGTGATCGATTCTGACGAAAATCTGCGCTTAGCCGCCCCACTACCCCCATGTCATCCAAGATGTCCATGTCTTTCTTTCTTCAGTCGAAAAGAAATTAAGGTTTTTGATGAAAACATTCCAGGATTTTTCTCCATATAATGGACTTCAATGGGAACCAAACGGTTCAAGGTCCAAAAGACAGTTTCAGTGCAAACTACAAACTGTTCAAAGGGCTTTAAACGATTTCAGACGATGAATAAGGGTCTTATCAAGCGAAACGATTGCTCATTTAAAAAAAAAAAAAAAAGTTTAAGTTTTATAAGCTCGGCTTGCTTTGTTCTGTGATGCGCGTTTGTGACTCTCCTGTTCGAACTCGTTTATCAAAATGAACGAATGTTTTCCCGAGTCAATTCGTTCATTTCGTTCATGGAATGAACCAAATGACACGAAAAAAGATTAGTTCATTTTGACAAACGAGTTCAAACAGGAGAGTCACGAACGTGCATCACAGAACAGAGCAAGGCAACCATTTGAGGTTATAAAACTTGAGGGTGAGTAATTACTGACAGAATTTTTATTTTGGGGTGAACTATCCCTTTAAGCATGTCAAAGATAAGAGAGTGAGGACATGTGATCACTGCACGAGTGCATTCATTTGTGATAGACTTCATGTTTTGTTTGGCACCCTGAGTACATGTCCACAAAAAATGGTATGTAAGCTCTCAGTCTGGGATCTGATCAATAGCTTCATCTCTGTTAGAATGAATTGTCAAATATACAACAAGACAAACAAACCACCTGTTGTTCTCTTTCTTCCGCTCTCTCAGCCTCTCTGTGACTTGGGAGCTCCCTCAGCCATCCATTTAATTTCACCTCATGACCTCAGAAGTAGTCTGAATGCCAAGCAGAAACTATTCTCACTGTAAAGTTCAGACACCAAAAACCCTATTTACTTTCTTAAAGGGCCAGATTCACCCAAAAACAAAAGTTCATCATTTACTCAGTTTATGTTGTTGCGTGTTTTTATTCCATGGATACCAAAAGGTACGGAGCACTGCACATAACATGCTATAAAGGAAAAGTAAATTGTGCACACGATTGACTAATTCGTTCCCTCGATTGTTAAATTGTGCACACGATTAGCAAATCGAGGGAACGAATTAGTAAATCATGCACCTGATTTAGCCAACTATTTTTTTCCTGCATGTCATGTGCGGGGCTCCATAAAAAAAAAGAGATAATTCAATGTTGCAATATCCAGCTGGTTGAATTAAATGCAATGGCAGTACATTGTGCATCTTAACAGCAAAAAAAAAAAAAAGCCACATGAATCACTGACCATTTTCCATGTGCTCTGATGACAAACAATCCAAAATTAAAGTTGTAATGAAAACTTCATAATGCAGTTTACCACCAGGACTCCCTTCTGGAAACTTAAGTTCATTCAGTTGAATTCTGTGAACCGTCTAGATTGATAACCGGCTAAAAAGAACGATTTGTTCAAGACTTGTACGTCACTACTTTCTGCAACCTACGGGACTAGAGAACTATACAGCACACAGAAATGTACATCCCTCTAATATGACTCAGATACTTCAATAAACATGGCAGCCAATCAATAATCAGCGGCTAATAGAAAATCTGAATGGCCTACCATTAAAAAATATATATAAATTTGTACACCATGTAAAACTGAATATATGTACCAAATTTTGTGAAAATTGGCCTCAAGTTGACACTATAATAAGCAACTTTACATTTGGTGTTTGGACCATGATGATTGCTATTTCACAATCACAACCATTTCTAGGGTTTTCAAAGAATGGTGTGAAAAGGGAAAAACATCCAGTATGCAGCAGTCCTGTGGGCGAAAATGCCTTGTTGATGCTAGAGGTCAGAGGAGAATGGGCGACTGATTCAAGCTGATAGAAGAGCAACTTTGACTGAAATAACCACTCGTTACAACCGAGGTATGCAGCAAAGCATTTGTGAAGACACAACACACACAACATTGAGGCGGATGGGCTACAACAGCAGAAGACCCCACCGGGTACCACTCATCTCCACTACAAATAGGAGAAAGAGGCGACAATTTGCAAGAGCTCACCAAAATTGGACAGTTGAAGACTGGAAAAATGTTGCCTGGTCTGATGAGTCTCGATTTCTGTTGGTAGAGTCAGAATTTGGCGTAAATAGAATGAGAACATGGATCCATCATGCCTTGTTACCACTGTGCAGGCTGGTGGTGGTGGTGTAATGGTGTGGGGGATGTTTTCTTGGCTCACTTTAGGCCCCTTAGTGCCAATTGGGCATCGTTTAAATGCCACGGCCTACCTGAGCATTGTTTCTGACCATGTCCATCCCTTTATGGCCACCATGTACCCATCCTCTGATGGCTACTTCCAGCAGGATAATGCACCAAGTCACAAAGCTCGAATGATTTCAAATTGGTTTCTTGAACATGACAATGAGTTGACTGTACTAAAATGGCCCCCACAGTCACCAGATCTCAACCCAATAGAGCATCTTTGGGATGTGGTGGAACGGGAGCTTCGTGCCCTGGATGTGCATCCCACAAATCTCCATCAACTGCAAGATGCTCTCCTATCAATATGGGCCAACATTTCTAAAGAATGCTTTCAGCACCTTGTTGAATCAATGCCACGTACAATTAAGGCAGTTCTGAAGGTGAAAGGGGGTCAAACACAGTATTAGTATGGTGATCCTAATAATCCTTTTGGTGAGTGTACATTGTTCTTGTACACATCCATACATGCCAGTAATGTGACTGCAGTGCACACCAGCACATAAATGCACAAACAAGCTTGACATTTGAGGGTTTAAGGTTAATATTGTTTATGAAGAGGTCTTGCAGCTCTGATCAATAAAAATCTTTGTGAAAAGGTTCAGAGAAATGAAGAATGAGCAAGGCAGAAATAGGGGAAAACACATCTTGACAGTAATTGAAAACATTTATTATTTCGCCTCGGAACCTGCCCATTCACGCATAAGCACAAGACACTGAGAGAGGTGGACCAACAAACTATATAACCTGTATTAGTAAACAGTATTTAAACCAAACCACCACTGTATATCATCACACAGTGGCAGATATGTCTTATTTTAGCTGGTTATCAGCCAGATAAAAAAGGGCTAAAGGGATCTTTTATCCGAGGACAAACATAAAGACCTATCCCTCCGCTAATGGCACCGTTCAGGTGTGAAATGAATCACCTGACCTTTCCAACACACACTCACAAATACAAACACACACCTCTCTTCTAGTGGGAGTCAAGCTGAATTTCTCCTGAAGGAAAACCAATCCCGGTGGGAAGCCATTCATTTATCAGTTTAGTTTCTCTTTCTGTCAATCTATCTGCTCTTCACCCCAACACAGCCTCTTCTTTATAGCTGGAGAAAAAAAAAATGTCAGTCCTCCTTAGGGTATTTTATCTCTCACAAGCAGACACAGGCTATTTGATCCATTTCATCCTGATGTCCTCAAGCTTTTCAAGATACATCGATCCCTGAACTCTAAAGTCAACGAAGACAAGGTATAAAACAGAGGAATAAACAGAAGAAAAGCAGAATAGAAAAATAAGGTTATGTACTTTCTCAAAAATGTATTTTGGATCATTTTTAACCCAAAAAAGTCATGGACTGCAGCTTTAACCAATGCCGCTGAAAAAGTGTCAGTGTTGCAGTGTCAGGATGCTTACAAGTCACAGTGTCACGTTTTTAAGGGAATCAGTCTACAAATAGCTTACTTACAGTAGTCTTTGCATATTAAGCTAAGGATGTGGTATATTAACATCAAAATAAATTACAAGCTTCACCTTTTAAGAATTACATCACTGCACTTGTGTGTTTTGATGGCTGTGATTGGCATTTGAAGGATATTTTTAGCTGACCTCTCATAAAATGCTTCTATTTCCACTCTCATGCTTGTAACTGGAGGTGTACGTGTTTTGATTGTGGGCTGAAAGTGCTAAAAAGCAAAAATAATAATTCTTCTGTCATCATTTACCCACTCTCATATGCTAGAATTAATGATAATTGACATGTTTGTCAAATAACTAGTTACCAATAGAATTCATTTATGTGTTTTCCCTTATACTTTCATGGCGATTTTGAGTTATTTTGGAGCTTGCAAACCCTGGTATGATTTTACAGTATAAAAGAGCTCTGGACCTTCTGCAAATCTCATTTGTGTTCATTTAAAACACAAATGATGACAGAGTTTGCATTTGTTGTTGAACTAATCCTTTAAATACACGCGCATACACACACACAGGTCATTGATGGACAGTCAGGTCAGTAAGATTAGAAGCAATGCCTGGAGCCTGTCCGGCAGATCTGAGAGAGAGCCAGACATATAAAAACACAAACACACACAAACATTGTTAATCAGCTTTAGGAAAGTAAAGAAATTAAATTGTACCTGAGTGTTCCAGCGTTTCTGTTCTTGATCACTGTTGAGTTAGACGACACTCAGCGAACTCCAAAATTAGGATATATGATCATGATTCAAAATCTACAAAATGAAGATGAAATATGTCAATGCATGTCTAGGTCACTAATCAAATAAGCCTAAATGTGACCCTGATCATGAACTCTTTTTTAAATAAATAGCTAATAATAGCCTACAAAAGCACAAGATCGATGCTTTTTTGCGAGGTGTGGTAGGCCCACCAAACAAACAAACAAACACAAATGGACATTATTAAGTAAGTGAAATTATGCCATATATTGACTATAAATCTACAGCCTGTCCTATCCTATTTTGATAATGATGGCTTTTATCATTGTTCAATCAAAATGCAGAACACATGCATATTTAGACGACACATGCATATTTAGACGACTACTAAAATAGCCTACAGTAATCATATTAGATAAAGGCCTAACTTACCTTGTAACAGAATTTGTACAGCCTACACATCAGGAGTGTTTCCTATTAAAAAAATAATAATAATAAAAATTCATCCAGCACTTTTTTTGTTCTCCGTATCGCATTATTGTGTGTTTACAAAGTGAGAGAAACTGCTACAAACAATCACCATGTGAGCTGTTTGAATGATTCAGATTGAATCACGATTCGCGATTCATTGAAAATCGCGATTCAATCATTGAAAACTGATTCAGGCTGTTTTTGTAACCCATAAAATTCAAATTCATTAAAAAAGAAAGAAAAAAAGTGATTCATTCACCAACCGGAAATCGATTTGCTAGGCTAGTTCTTCTGATTCTTAGCATTCAGTTTTGTCCGTCAGGTTTGCCTTCATATCAGATAGCCTATAACATGTATTTACACGGGATTGATCTGTTATCGTTTAACTTTTGTTGATATTTTGAATTGTTTTTCGTTAGCTGACTCGTGCTCAAAATCTACAAAATGTCTGTTTACAAAGTGAGAGAAACTGCCACGTAAACGAATCACCGTGAGCTGTTTGAATGATTCAGATTGAATCGCGATTCATTGAAAATCGCGATTCAATCATTGAAAACTCATTCAGGCTGTTTTTGTAACCCATAAAATTCAAATTGATAAAAAAAGAAAGAAAGAAAAAAAGTGATTAATTCACCAACCGGAAATCGATTTGCTAGGCTTATTCTGATTTTAAACAGTCAGCATTCTGTTTTGTCCGTCAGGTTTGCCTTCATATCTACCACATGTAGGCTATATTTACACGGGATATTATCGTTTAACTTTTGTTGATATGTTTTGAATTGTTTTGTGTTAGCTAACTAAGTGCTGCTGTCATTAAAACAAAGGGGGCAAAAAGACATGAATTCATCTTCATTCATCAACTGAACTTTTCTCTCAAATGTTTATGCAAATAATAGGCTACAATACAAAAACTATATATATATATATATATATATATATATATATGCTATGCCTAAATATATTAGATTTACAGAAAGCTTGGCTCTCTAAGGCTATGAGTCATGCAGGACTGACCCTTTGCTGTTTTTCAAAATTGTATAACCATTGATTAAGAAGGTTGATTGAATGTATAGGATTTGTTGCTTAAATCCTAACAAATACTTGAAAATCAGAGAGAGAGAAAGAGAGAATCCCAGTTTCGATTTAGATAGCTCTGGCCTCACCTCTCCTCACACCACATCCGGTGGGAATTAAAATGACGTCCGTGGGCACTGAAGCGAATGTAAGATTTCAGGGGGAAAAAAACTTTCCTTTTACCACAATGCCTTTTGAATTTTGTTATCGAAAACAATGTTGAGGACGCTCCTGAAAGAATGGAGAGACGGCAGGTGCTCCTCAAAGAATTCTAATTAGTTTGTTTCTTTGCTGTTGTGTTTGTCAGAATGAGACTGAAGCCCTGGTGATGGAGAGAAACTCAGATGCTCAGTGGAGCTTTGAGAATCAATAATCTGAAGGGACAGAGGAAGTGTAGTACACCGTCCGCCAGTATGTGCTTTCATCCACTCTCAGAGGAAAAGGTTACGGATGTCATCTGTAGGTGTGTGTCTGTGTGTGCATGATTCAGCAGATGTGTTTTCTGTCTCAGTGGGCTGTGAAGAGCAGAGTCTGCTCTGTTAATCTCCGTCAAAGACACATTTACTTTGGGTTCCTCTATCTGCAACTACACTTCCACTGCGTGTGTGTTTGTCTGAGCTTGTTTTCTTTGTGCATTATGTGTAGGCAAGCATATTGTCCAGATAAGGTTAGTGACTGAACAAACCCAAAGTATTGAACTTGGTGCATAAAACGCCTCACAGTTTGTGTTACAGATGTGAATGATATCTCTAATCGTGCGGCTTGTTGTGGAGAGGAGTGTTTTACTTTTATAAGCAAGTTGACATTAAAATGGGTGGGGGGAAAAAATCACATGAGGAAGAACATCTTAGCAATCACACAATGTCCAGATATTCTTGTGTTATGCGCAACAGAACAGCAGTTTTTACACAGGATGATATGTAAAAAAGCCTAAATTCAATGTGTTCATCATAAAGCGACCAAGTCTCTTCGGAAAATTGTTGACTAAACTGCTCTGCTTCAAAGTGGTAGTTCCGTATAGTCTGTCAATGGAGGGACAGTCACAGAAATCTCTCAGATTTCATTAAAAATATCTTAATTTGTGGTCCTAAAATGAACAAAAGTCTTTTTTTGAACTATCCCTTTAAAACTCGAGGACTGTATGTTGTATTCCATCCTATTAACAATGAGACACCAGGCTACTTCCACTATAAAAGGCGCAGATGAGCATATGTCCAAATACGTAATATTTATAAAACAGTGACGAATAACAGAGTAAGATGACTTACTGTACAGATGGACACTTATTGTCCATGGCAGAAAACAGTAACAGTGCCAGCCACTGTTTGGATTGGAAATAACTGGGTTTCTCAGAGCCTTCGAGGCTCAATGTCCTACAGAGTTTAGCTTCAACCCTATCAAACCCAACTGAACAAAGGTCTTCAAGATTACCAGAACGTTAGAAAGATGGGTTTGATCAGCTACAGAGCAGCAAGATTAAGATTGCGATCTCGATTCAAGTGCACACATGATCTTTTTCCTCACTCTTAGAATAAAAGGTTCTATATAGAACCTTAAAAGGTTCTATCAGCGCTACGTATTTGGAACCCCCGTTCTATACAATCTTAAAAAAAGGGTTCCTATATAGAACCCTGGGGTTCCATACTTGGCCAATAGAACCTTTTACCAAAAAAATGAACCATTTTGGAGTTCTATATATGAAGCGGGGGATGGAACCATTTCTGGTTCTAAATAGAACCATTTCTTCTAAGAGTGCTTAATGGCAACGATTCACCTGCAAAACCACAGCGCAACATTCAAATAGAAACAGCTTCACTAACAGTCTTTTCACCAATAATAATGTATTTCAATAAGTCAAATAAGTCTGTGCATAGATTGTTTTCAAAGACATATGAAAGTATATTTTGAAAGACAACCTTTCATTTTTGTATTTCTTTAAAAAAAAAAGTTGGGTTATTGTTTTAAATAGCAACAGCTTTCACGATAGATTTCATAATGCCAAAGCTCCTCTCGTTTGCAATCGGGGCGTGCAGTATTTCACTGTAAAGTGATTTATTAAACTATTAATAATTATCGATGTCCAGAGGTCAGATGCAAAAGCACACAGTGGGAGCAGAAAGAAAGTAGGTGAGTTTCTAAATGCAGAGAGCCAGATCATTAAACACACTGCCCGCAGAACTTCAGCAAGACTGTGACATTTATAAGACGTTAAAGACAGAAAATATGTATGCTTTGTAAATTAATTAAACAGGGGTTTCAAAACTTCTAAAAACTTTTGCAGAAAATACTAATATATAAAATCTAATCAGACTGTTCTCATCCCAAGGCGTCATATACTGACGCTTTTGACATTTGGTCTACATCCAACGCACATGCGTCAATATGAGACGCATTAAGGCGCCTCCTAGTGGTCTAAACGTAACACTACCCCAGACCTGAACCTACCCATGAACAAAGCTCTGTGCATGTTATATTGACGCTAAAGGGTGCCATGTGCGTTAGATTTAGACGTCAAAAGCGTCACTATATGACGCCCTCGGATGAGAACGAGTTAAGTACAATATACAAATACATAGATTAAATACTTACATGTAGTTTCTAAATCCATCATATATCATATCGTAATGAATTTTAAGTTCCTAGGTGGATTATTATATTATATATTTGGCTCCACAATCTGTATTTGTCTTAGAGGTGACTTCAAGAATATCAGTGCTGTCTGTGATTTTGGCCCCGAGTAATGGACGAGCTCACACATTTATCACAAATATCTTCGGAAACATACATTACATCTATGCACTGCCCACCCATGCCATCTCGACACGACTAAAACACATCAGATCTGAAGATGGCCTTCGCAGTAATAAATCATGAATCCACGGGTGTACACATTACAATGGGGAAAAAAACAGTAGAAACCTGAAGTGTCTTATGGTTTCACATCAGAAGGTCTGGAGGAGAAAACTTAAAATGGCAGAAACATTTTTAAAAACAAAAAACAATGAAGTTTCGAGCCTTGTAAATGTACTTATAAAGCTCAACACTGTTATTTTAAATGTGCACATGCTTGTATCTCTCTTTCACACACACATTGTTTCATTGTGTTTTCCAACAGTGTGTCTGCCTCTCTCTCCTCCAGCACACATTTGCTTGAATTAAATCAGCACATCATCATACCCACAGACCCCAGCACCTTACATATGTATTACCTGCCCCATCTGAATCAAGGATAAATCCCAGCATGTCCTTGCAACGCCGTTTTGAATGTCAAATTCTGATTTCAAATGAATTCATACATTTCTATGAGAAACAAAGTGACAGTGTTGCTAAGAAAATAGACAAGTGTGCTTGACAGACTTCTCATAAATATAAATGGGGTTGGAATAACAAAAATGTCTTCAGTGCTCACTGCACCTTGTAATGCAATGCTAATATATGCAAAAAAAAAAAAAAAAAGGTGGGATCTTTTGCGAGCACACCTGGATAACCTTACACTCCGATCACACTTACTGTACAAGCGTACCGTGTTTATGAAGCCAACATGGCTTTGGAGAATGTTAAGATACACAATCTTTTGGTTTAACTGCAAATGACTTTTAGACAAGTCATCTGTTCCTCATATAGACCTAGGCCGTTGGTCTGATCTTCACCAAATTTTGCATATCTTGCATGTATAAAGTACAAATTTCTCTAAATGTTGTATATGGAGAAAAATGCGGTAGTTTCATTTTAATTTCTGATGCTTGGTGAACTAAAAACATATATTAAATATAATGAATGTTTATGTGTTTTGTGCTTGTTGCTATATGGGACCCTCTCAAAACAAGATGTTACTGGAACATCTAGTTTTATTAAATTACTCTTGTTTTGATATTCGTTTTGTTCTGTTGGATATCTGTGATCCTTGTTTAGTTTCTGTGTTAAAGGTGCGTCTCAGAGGTGACTCACAAGACCATAGACGTATGTAATTACCATAATTACTTCACGATCGTTAAAAAACGGCTGTTCTATGGAGGGTTTTCA